ACGCGCACGCGAGTCGCGCGCGCACAAGTTTGTTAACGTCTTATTAACAGCAGGCAAAAAGCGTGGCAGCCGTTACACCGGCGCTCTAACCAATTCAGCTAACCGGGAGGCGGTAATCTTTACTTTTTTTGCAAAATCTTGCCTGAATTAAACACTGTAGAGCCTGTTGTTTGTTCCCTGCATTAGGTGCTGCTGCGGAGTTAAATGGTTAAGGAGAATGAACTGGCGCAATACACTCTCATTTTGTTCAGCCTCTGCGGATGGTAAACTCGATTTGTCCATTCAGGAATTGTTAGCCTAAATTTGTCTCTTTTCATCCGTAAAATATTCGCCATCCTTCACTCTCTTCATCCCTTTTTTGTTAATCCTACACCTTTGTTGTTGGTAAAACCCAATGAATTAACTTTTTCTCGTTTCACCCCAACGAAACACTAATCTCCATGACACCGAAAATTACTAGGATATGGTGACGTAGGTCGTCTAAAGTTAAGATCGCCTGAAACCTGTTAACACTCCTTCAGAAAAAGTGTCTGGCAGCTCATGCTAATAAGGGAGTTAGGTTGACACCGATCCAGTCTCTGCTCTACTCTTGGACAGCTGGCGGAGTTAGAGTTGACAGCGGTTTGCACTCATCTTTAGGGAACTCGAGAACTTCCTCCCCTTCCCTAGAACAACAAAAAATATAGCCAAACGAAGCAGCATCGCTTGGTTAATGAATATTTTCTCAACAAATAAGCCAGCATCTGAAATTCTGAAACGTGGAAAAATTGAGAACTACCTGGCCACAAGCCTAAGAACCAATTCAACCTTCCTTGATGGATCTACTGTCATTGGTTCAGCCGCTACAAACTGTTGAGTGCTGTCGCCTTGTAATGTTGTAGCACCTGCTCTCCATGCTGGATCCGGTTCAACTACATTGGCAGGTTCCGATCCCTGAGCTAAGAAAAATGAATCAAAGGTGGTCACTGAATTATTCCCACGCAAATCCATTAGGTAATAGAGAGATTTAGCACCGCGTTTACGTAAAAGATGAACAGCAAGAGTGACCCTGTGACCTTCTTTTCACCGCTATATTTTCACGTTTGCCGTTTCTACATGAAGGTAACCTGTTTCGCGTTTGTCGTCTGCGTAAGATTTTTTCACTTTTTCTCACAGAGTAGAAGGCAATTGCGTTAAAATGGGCACCAAAACTATTCCTCGTAAGTCATACAAGGGCGACTTCAAACCCATCAAGAATGAAAAAACTGAAGCAGCAAGATTTGCACTATTTTACGTGAAATGTAAAAGAGCAAGCTGACGTTTGCCGTTTTACGTAGACACGATGCTAAATATCTCTAATATTTGGATTTACACAGCAAAATGAGAGCACCTTAGAAGCTAATTTGATTGCAAATAGATAGTTTAAAACAATGGCACAAACAATAACTTGCGAGGCCTTCGTTTCAGGACGCCGCCCTGACAAGTCAATGAGCTCTCTCTGGAAGAAAGGGCGCAAGATCTCCTCCAATAAATCAACCAGTGTATGCTTCGCTGCTAATCTTACAGATCTATATTTTTTTGCAACTGCAAGTAAATGTCGCGAGAACAATAGGCATTCTGCCCAATGGGATCAAAATAATATCAGTTGTCTTCATTTTACTTTAAGATGAATCCAGAAGCACTAATAAATGAAGACATTACTTTGTCTTTTTTTTTTCTAGCACTTATTACACGGCTGAGTCAGTAAGAGAAATTACACTTCGTCTCCCCTAGACAAATTTAAAATTGATCACACAGCATTACAACTTCGTGGTCGAGGATTTGAGACATGGCGTGTAGCTTTTACATTGTCAAATCAAAATGCAGAGCTCGAGTAACTATAACTTACGTCTCGCCAAGCTTTATCAGATGAAAACAGTCACTTACCCACGAATTCATTACATGTACTTGATGACGCCCTTGAACAGGCTAGAAAAAAAAAATCTATATATATATATATATATATACATAATGTGTGGTAGTCGGAAAAAAAACAACTACATATACATCCCTACAGACCTGTTTCGTGGTTGCCCACTCATCAGGGGTTTTTAAAAAGTTTAATCCCTCTATATACATATACATATATATAATCGAAGAGTTGGTTATTCGGTCATTTATTCGCTACCTGAGTTTCATGCTTCATGCAAAGCAATCATCAGGCGGCTGTCAGAAATAACGGTGACAATCAGAGATATTTGAAAATACGCGATAGCTGCCAAGATCGTTGCGTGAAGCGCGCGCGCGATCGTCGTTATTAAAAAAGAACATTTTTTAATAGAAACTTCCAACATAAATCAGTGGAAAAACACGGCAAGTGTGCTGAAGTGGTTTAACAGCTTAAAAAACAAGAGCTCACTCTCGTTCATATGTTTTGATGTGTGTGAGTTCTACCCCTCAAGAACCGAGAAGTTGCCATCTAAAGCACTCAATTTAGATGCGTACCGCCAAATAACCACTCACGAACGTGAGATCATTCTGCACACAAAACGATCACTGTTTTTCAACGACAATTGCCCTTGGGAGAAGAGAGAGATTGGACTTGGTGTCCGTGAAACAGTGCTCGATACAAATAGTAGAGCGGGTATAATGTGTGGTAGGCGGAAAAAAAGCCATGATGTTGTCCCGTTGAGCGAGTGAGTGTAACAATAGAATACTAACGACCTCTTAACCCACTACCCATTCTCATAATTTTAAGGACAAAAATAATTACCTGAAATCTATTATTGTTGCAAGCTAACTTTCATGCTGAATTCTGTTCAACGACATTGACACGACTTAACTCAGCTGAGAAACCAAAGTTTTATAGGGAATCATTAAGCTGTTACAAAGTGCATCCATCAGGTAATATTGTATGAAAGGCTAATCAAAATGAGAGCACCGATACCGTAATGGTTAATCGGACTGCGCTTTAAAAAGACCAAAATAATATCAAGTTGTTAAATATGACCGAGTTCTTTAAGTTTAACTTTAAGTTTAGTTTAAGTTTAATTGATTCGCCACAGGAATGGCAGGAGAAAGGAACAGAACTTTCGCTCCAATTGACACCTAACCCCTTATTTTTTACCCACCCATCCCACCCCGAGGAGGACATCTATCACACAGTAATCTCGTGTCTGGGAATTAACGTCTCTTACCCCAACCCTACAGGAGACGGGACCTCCATTTATCGTCCCTATCCGAGAGGACTAGAAAGTTTAACCATTTGCAGATATTATTACAAAGGCAGCACTTTCTTCTCGGTTAATTAAAGACCATAAGTGTTGGTCCGGCCGGATTTGAACTCACGACCTCCCGCACAACAGTCCGTCGCTCTACCAATTTAGCTAACCGGGAGGCAATAGTTCTGTTATGTACCTAACCAGATATAAATTGTTGTAGAGGCTTTCTAAACCCTTATGAGGCTAAAAGATGCCTTGATATTTACATTCCTAACGAGTATTTCCGTTTATCAGTTCCATTCGTGTAAAAATTACGATAATTACTTAACTCGGGTCAGAAAGAAAAAATATACTTACACCAGCGTTCAACACCATGGCTTTCAAACCCTAACATTGAGTAATAAAACATTCAAAGGCACACTTTTACTTAAAACTCTTGACAGGTTTTGTTCAAGTACCTAACTAGATATAAATTGTTGTAAAAGCTTTCTAAACCCTTACGAGGCTAAAAGGTGCCTTGATATTTACATTCCAAACAAGTATTTCCGTTAATCAGTTCCACTGATTAGTGTAAAAATAACGATAATTACTGAGCTTGATTCAGTAAGAAAAAAAATACTTACACCGTCTTATATCATGGCTTTCAAACCCTAACATTGAGAAATAAAACATTCAATGGCGACTTTTCATTTAAAACACTTGACAAGTTCTGTTGAAGTACCTAACCAGATATAAATTGTTGTACACGCTTCTCAACCATTACGAGGCTAAAAGATGCCTTCCTAATGAGTACTTCCGTTTATCAGTTCTATTGGTGTAAAAATAACGATAATTACCGAGCTTGATTCAGTAAGAAAATAAATACTTCCACCGTTTTACACCGTAGCTTTCAAACCCTAACACTGAGAAACATTCAATGACGAATTTTAACTTAAAGCTCTTGATTATAACAGGTTTTGTTGAATGGAATAAGATAGTTGAGTACGCCATAGGCGTTTTGTGTACTGCCATTAAGTTGCTACGTGTCATATAGCACTTCAAAATAATTATGGCCGAATTTTATCATGTGCCTAAGTAGATATAAATTGTTGCAGAAGCTTCCCTTACCCTTATAAGGCTAAACGATGCCTTTATTTTTACAATCCTAACGAGTATCTTCGTTTGTCAGTTCCATTAGTGTAAAAATGACGATAATCATTGGACTTGATTCAGTGCGAAAAAAGTACTTACATTCTTGTTCTTCAAGCTCTCGTTCTTTCCCTAACATTGACAAATAAAACATTTAATGGTGAATTTCTTTTTCAAACTCTTGACAGACTTTGTTTATGGGATATTTGAGTACTCCATAGGCGTTTTGTGTCCTGCCATTAAGTTCCTCACATCATATTGCACTTCCAAATAAATATGGCCGAATTTTTTCATGTGTCTAAGTAGATATACATTGTTGTAGAAGCTTCCCTTACCCTTCTGACACTACAAGATGCCTTCATATTTATAATCCTATCTTCCAAAATTCTCCACTCTCAAGTAGGGGGAATTGATGTTTTCCAGATTCATGAGTGACAAAATTTTGATTTTTGCTTACACACCTCTATCTTGGGCATTATGATCCACGTCACCAGCTGTAGCTGTGGCAGATGGCCCAGAAAAATTGCCTTGAACTTCTGCCATTACTTCAGGTGTGAACATACACTTAAGAACACCATTTTCTGCCCGCCCAGACACAATTCCTGCCTCTTTCGGTGCAGTTTTCACTCGGTAGAAGGTGAACTTCTTGGCCTCGTATGCCGATCTTTCTATTAACATCTCTTCTCCTTCGAGGAGGGCCCATCCCCCTACGTCAAAACCATCCATTGATATGTCCAGATGACAACCTAGAAAGAACCACAAGTGATAAAGAACAGCCTTCTGGAAAATTTTAATCTGCCAAAGGCCAGGAACTCAAATATTCAGTTGGTGGAAAATTCACAAACCAATATATAATATTCGTATTCCCCGACAGCCCTGGGACGAGTAAGCGCTTGCGCGTGAATGCGAGGCCAATGCGGGGAAAAGTTGCCGCGGAATACAAGAAATTTATGGCCGGTATGGCGGAAATGGAAGCAAAGTTTAAAAACTGGTAGGTTCCAGAGCTTAAAAAATACCCGCACGTTCGAGGAATATCTGTCTCCAACAAAATGAAGGAAGAATTTGTCGAACTGACCGAAAAAGCCCAGGAACTCGCTCTCGAATTGAAGGACGACTGTGAGTCCGTAAGTTATGTTGTGAATGCGAAGTTGGCACAAGAGATGGTTTAATCCCAAATCCCTTTAACCTCCATTCTGACCAGGGCACTGATTTTTCGGTTACCCCAAACTTTACCTGGGAAGATTTGTATTGCTATTTAATAAACAAGAAGGGAAATGACCAAGAATCCCTGAAGACGTACAAGTCTCTCGAAGGGTACCTTTTACATTGGGATGGACATGTGTACAATCTTCAAAGAAACAAGAACATCTATTTTGAACACCACATCATAAGATTCTTTGTTAGCCCTACGGAACGAGAGAAAACGCCGTTAGGAAACAAACCGACGTATGATGGTTAGATGATTATCCACAATGATGATGTTGTTCTCTGCACATTGTCCTTGCATTTGTAGGTAAGTCCAACTGGTTTTCTTTGCGATCATGATACACAATACAGCGATAGGATTGTTTGTTTTATACCATTTTTAGCTCGCCCTATCACAGTTTGCACCATCTATCATTTTACAGCTCTAACGGGGCTTGCGGTCACAGAGGAGCGGCACTCATCGAACTTTAAGACACTCATCAACAAAATGCAGTTGTCACTTGCACAAGTGAAAAATGTGTATGAAAAAGAAAGAGAGCAAACAACGAAGCTACTAATTTAGAAGACATGGCCTTTACCAAGCTCGAAATTGGTAAGAAGAAAAAGACAGTAAAGCCTTCAGCAAGGAATTATTATCCACGCCCAAAGGCTGCTGCAAACAATGAGAATCTAGTTGAACAGTTTAGAGGATTGCTTATTAATACAGTTCCTTCAGCAGTAGGCCTTCATTTATTACCTGACCCTGGACTAAACGAAGCCGCTGAAGAAATAACTGAACAAAATAATACAAGTGACCCACCCGTAGAAAGTGACAATGTAAGCCTATCTAACCAAGAGCAACCATTTCATTTAGGATGTACATCACCTTTCAAGAACCACCCCCCAATTGTTGATGAAATAAAGCAAAAGGCACAGGGAATAAAGAGAAAACTCAACTTCACTGAAGAGGAAATAAGCTCTGTTGAAAAGTAAGGATGGGCCGATACCGATACCAAATATTCGATACCGGCGATACCGAGGTCGTATCGAAAAATATCGATACCAACCTAGGGTATCGATTATTTCGATACTGCACGTGACCTACCCGCGACTTAACTCCCGCAACTAACCGCTGACAAGTAGTATAAAATACCCCGGGCTCAAGATCGTGCACGTGCGCATTTGCGTGCAATCTAGGATTGCCGCAGTGTACCGGTCAAACTGGCGGTTTCTTCCATTCCCCAGCATAACGTTTCACTGTGAAATAGGACCTGATTCTATTAACTGTAAATGTAAAGTCACTCAGTACAACGGCAACAAAATCAATCACAACAATCCAGGCATTACAGGGACATATCTGGCGTAAAAAAATTAGTTGCAAACTACCACGCCTGCTCACTCAAGAAAAACTTCGAGCAAGAAAAGCACCCTGTATGGTCCTTTATGCCAGGGGGTCTCTGATGTATCGAGTACTGAAGCGCAGGGCCCATAATAAGTCGTGCACCCGTGTTTGTTTATCGTTAGTGACCTGTCCAGTGACTAATAACCTTTCATTGTACGCCTTATGATCATGAATGCAAGTGAAAGTTGCGAATTACTTAATATAGTAAGTAGAAAGATTGTACCATTGCGGTCTTCTTCGTTTCCTCATGAAATTTAAAAATGAGTCCCAATAAATAGAAATTACTGATTTGTTCGACTGTCTTCTTGATGCTACTATAGAGGACTGAACTGAAAACCGTGCGAAGGTGTCTTCATTCAGCCAATCAGATCACGTGACTTATTCATTTCAATGAACTCACAGTATCGGTATCGATATCGATATCGAAGAAAAAGGTAAATATCGTACTCGGTATCGTATCGGCCCATCCTTATTGAAAAAAAAGACGAGGCTTCAAAGTCAAGAATCTGACTGGTTTTTTTACAGAAAAGGCAGAATAACAGCCTCTAAATGTAAGAGTGGCAAGCCTTAGGCCAACCACTTCCCCATCCAACACTATGAAAGAGTTATTGGGGAACAATAACCCCCCTCCAATCCACTGCAATGCTACAAGGACTACAAAATGAAGGTAGCATTGCAGAAGCATTTATAAACACATTGGATGCTGAGGGGAAGAAAGGAGTCTATTACAAAGTGCGGCTTTTTCATCAGCAAAACCCATGGGTTTTCAGGTGCAAGCTCAGATAGAATTATTATTATCAAGAGGAAAGCACCCCTGAGGTTGCTGAGTTTAAATACACTCAAGTTAGACCTGGTGAAACTTTAACAGATGTCCTTTTAAGACAACGCATATGTTTACAGGTTCAACACAACAATACTGAAATTATTCAGCTTAACAAAAACCACATATAATATTTTCAGTTATACCAGCAATTGTTTGTCAAAGAAGATCACTGTGGAGTTCTCACAGCCCAGGGGACTGATGGAAGCTTGTTTAATGAAAAAGTGAATTTACTCAGGAGTTCTGGTCTCCTGTGCTTAAAAAAATTGAATTTTTTTTTTTACACATTCCCTGTCTATGAACTTGCTTATCCAAGAGTTCATCTTGGACTAGAATGTATTACTTCCTAGAGAAACTTTCTAAGTACTACTACTAAAATTTATGTTAATGTATCATAGCAAAGCGCTGTTGTTATACATATAATGTTATTTGCTTTTTCACAAGTGGTTTTAGCAAGTTACAAAGTGCTGCACAGACGAATACAGCCTGATTAGCCACTGCAGCAATACTAATAGGGACTTCTTGCAATAATCTGAATTTCTTCACTCTCTGGATGGCTTTCTCGACATGAATTCTGGGAGATGCTATCCGTCTTGTTTTAGTTCATGCTTTAGTTGACAACTGCTTTCCCTTTGCAAATGGAGGTATGTTCAGTGTTGCACTTCTCTTGGTAACAAGGTCTCTTAGGTTAAATCCCCAGTCTGCCATGACATCATCCATGATCCATGACCTCTACCTTTTTAAGTAACCCTGACCTGATAGTTATTGCATGGTCAGATATTCCCCCAGAGTAAAGGTCAGAGACGAAACTAAATGCTTCTGAAGGGGTAATTCCAACAAGTAGTCTGAATGTATTGTGGCTTTGTAATCACTCCAGGTGACTTTTTGGAAGAGGGGGCACTGGGTTTCTCGACCTTTACTTCTGCAATCAATGAAAACACGTGTTCTTGGATACTTGGAAAAGCACTTTGGTAAATGCCTTTTAATCAGCTGTTTAGATGGCCACCTTATGAGTTCTTGTTTGACCACAAGGTATAAAATGGTTATCCAAGTTGTAAAGATTTTTTAAACTAATGGCTGAGAAATGCACAATATATCTGCGATTTGTATCTGCAACAAACCCAATCGAAGGCGGACTAGTACCATCACAAACTCAGGAAATAAAGGTTACTACCTTTTGGAGCCAGGTTTACGCTTGCCAGTGTTCTCCTATTACGGTAATTAAAAACAATAAACAGAGACAAATCAGAACTTCATGCATTACTTTTACCAATTATTGCTCTTCCATCATTTATGATCGCCTCTCAAAGTCCAACCCTACGTCCTCGTCGTGAGAGGTGGAAACAGGTAATGCTGGCTAACAGGGCTCTGGTGAAGCTGCATAGGCTAATCCCCCGTGCAGTGGATGTAACGGATTACAGAATCATTGATCAATTTTAACTTAACCATCGACTTGGGGAATAGGGGGTCGTCACACAGACAGCATATGACGCAGCGTAGGGAAAGCCGTCAGGATCCTACACAGCCGATTGCTCTTCTTTCTCCTAAGTCAGCATCCCTATTAGGCACGTGGAACGTGAGAACTATGTTCCAACCAGGCCGTGCTACCATCATAGCGCATGAGATGAAGAGGTACAAGTTATCAATCCTCGGACTGAGCGAAACACGCTGGACCTCATCAGGAGAGATGAAACTGGCAGATGGCACAACTATCATATATTCAGGCCATCAGGACGACGGAGCACCACACACTGAGGGTGTCGCATTCATGTTAACATCAGAATCTCGTAGAGCCATGATCTCATGGGAACCTATAAATTCTAGAATTATCACTGCCAGGTTCAGGACCAAACATAAGAAGATAACCGCACATATTATCCAGTGCTATGCTCCAACAAATGATTCAACTAAGGAGGACAAGGATGATTTCTATGGTGTGCTTACTGAAATAGTTGACAAAGCGAAGGAAAGAGATCTTGTAATGATAATGGGTGACTTTAACGCAAAGATAGGAGAGAATAACAGAGGATACGAGCAGATTATGGGTAAACATGGTCTGGGGACAATAAATGAAAATGGTGAACGTTTCGCAGACTTTTGCGCAGACTGCAACCTTGTCATCGGAGGAAGCTTGTTCCCGCACAAAACAGCACACAAGGCAACATGGGTATCGCCTGACCACGTAACAGAAAATCAAATAGACCATATATGCATCTCACAGAAGTTCAGGCGATCTTTATTGGATACACGCGTCAAGAGAGGTGCAGACGCTGCATCAGACCATCACCTCCTAGTTGCCAGAGTCAGATTAAAGCTGAAGCGTAACTATCAACCACGAA